CCAAATCCATCCCATGTGCAAGGCCTGTTACTACTCTCATTGAACAGGGGAGGAGAGGAGGCTCTTAGAGTTTTCGCCCAAGATCATGCAATTTGTGAAGAACAGGACTTGAGGGTAAATCTTTTGACTGCAGAATCCACAGTCTTGTCATGTCGCCCTTACTGCTCTGGGTTTTGCTTATCTGTGCAGGGGAGCACACACCTGTCTTTTACAGTAGATCAGGGGGTGAAGAAACCATGCTCTGTAGGTTAAAAGAGGATTGTACTTGTTTTTGTAAGGACAGTAATCTAAGAATGGCTTTTATATTTTTTAAGGTTGTTAAAAAAAAAAAAAAGAGAGAAGAAAAGGAAGTAGAAATCTGAGGTGGGCAATAACCCTAAAATACTTACTCTCTGGCCCCTAAAAAAGTTTGCTGACACCTAAACTAGATCCTAAGCACTTCAAGAACTGACTCATATTTTACTCATTTTAATTCCCCCATATTCCAACATGAATGCCCCTAAAACATTTTTAGAACGAAAAGAAAGGCATGGATAAGATTACCTTTGCAGAGTTCTATCCCTGGAGGTTAGGGCTTCCAGTTTTTCATTGCCTTAGGGTTGATGAAGTGTTATAGTGGCATTAGTTAATGTGCACATATAAAGGCAGGGCATGATCTCTGAAGTGCACCCCCAAGACGGGTATATTTGCAAAGCTTTACCCCCTAGATGCTCATAGATGACTTAAAGAATTCTGTAAGTTCTAGGCCAGTTGTGCCAACAGAATAAATTACATAAAGGACACATCTTAATACTACCCAGGTGTAACAGACATAATTGGGGGGTCCAGCTGATTTCCAGCTGTGGGGATGAACTCCTCAAGCCATATACAGCCCTTCCCAGACTTCCCTGGAATTCTATTCTGGATCACAGGTCTGAGAAAACCAAAGTTGGACAAATCAGATTCTTTTTGAAAAAATAGGAATTGGGATTGAGGAAGAGCCATGTATTCTGGGACGATTCCTGGAATAGAGTAGAAGAAGCCTATTGTAGAAGCCTAAAGCTTCTGTCCAGAGGGCAGCAGAGAAAGAGGCTTCCTGAGTCCAGGACTTGAGCCATTCCACCCTTCTGTACTCAGGTGATGCACCCTTCTTTTGCTTGATAATGACAAACAATATGCTTACTCAGACTAGTGGATAAGCGTAACATCTAAGTCAGACAACCCTGAGAACTTTCGTCTGACCACCATGGGGCCTGGGGCTGTGTTCCTGCCTCGGGACCACTGCGACTTGAAACTTTTCCAGTCAGAACATCTACTCTCCCTTCACCTCCAACAGGAGACCCGTCTGGAAACCATTAGTTCAGAATTCTCTAAACTCCCTTCTAGGAGCCCCCAAACATCACTGTCTGCCCTCTGCTCTTTCAGGCATGTATGGGGGAGAGATGTGGTCCTTCAGCTGGAAGACTCCCCAACTGTGCCAGGGTCCTGCACCCTCTACCTAACAGCCCCTCACCGTATTTTATGCCATTAAACCCTCTCTTTCTTCTGGCCCCTTTCCATCAGTATTCAACATGCTTCTCCAAAACAAAAACCTATGTTCTCCTTGAAATGTCTCTAATTCCTGCTCTTCACAGAAAAGCATCTTCCAAAAAAACTGTCCAATGGGACCCAGCTTCATCCTTTCAACTCTTCTCCACATATTGCCTTTGGCTTCTGTGTGGAGATGTCTTGGTTCACTCCATTCTGTGACTCTTTAATTCTTTCCCCACTTGTTGGCCACTCTCTTCATCTGAAATGTCCCTCTTCTTGTTTGCCTCTCTGGCTGTTCCTTCTCAGTCTCCATTGTGAGTTCTGCTTCCTCTGCCCATCCCTAAGGTTAGTGTTCTTGGGGGGTTCTGTCTTTGATTTCTTCTTACAGATCTCAGCTGCAACCTTGCCCTTCTCTGTGGGTTGATTTCCATCTAAATGCCGATGGCTTAGCTGTGCTTCCATAGCATCCCTCACCAATGCCTACTTATTCACTGGTGAGTCCCACCAGATTAAGAGCCCCAGTGGGTAGGGATGGCATTTGCTATGCTCATTTTTGCATCACCAGCACCTTATTCAGGGCTTGCAGAAAATATACACTTAGGAGAAGATGAGTGGGTGAGCTTTGTTGACTTTTGCTCTCCATGCTCTCAGCTTCCTATTTTGCATAGAAAATGGGCAGTTTTCCCCTTTAAGGGTGATTCCAGATGAGTGGTAAGACCTGGGGTGCACTCTGCCCCAGACTAAATGGGTAAGTGATGTCTGGAAGGTATTAAATCAGATCTTAAGTGGGAGTAATTTCAGGGTTGAGACAGAATGTTCAGACGCTCACCCATCATGCACAGAGAGAGAAAGCAATCCTGCCATAGGCCATTCAGGCTTCAGAAAATGCTCTGATCTGGTCTGATACAACTGTGCTGACTTACTTCTCCTGTCCCTGTTTCTGCCCTTTCCTGGTCAGCGCAGAAATGTTTTCAGAGCATTATGTGTCACGAATGAACTTTCTGGAAAATTCATGGTTTTAGTCTCTGAGTTGAGATCAAAAGCAGTTTGAATTTGGAGAGCTCTGGAAATCTCTAAGCTCTTGCTATTTTTGAGTAACCCCAAAGGGCCTTCCACTTTTGGGTGCAGTCCAGCCCAAGTCATTTTCCTTCCCTCTCTTCCTCCCTCTCTAGGAGCCAGGCTAACTGGGACCTGAGGAGGATGGAACTCTGGGTAAATTGCTTCTTAAGTTTGGGGGGGAGGCACCCCCACACACCCCAACCCACCTGATTCAGCCCTCCCTTCAGGCAAGGTCAGTGTCAGCAAATAGCCAGCCACATTTCCCTGGAGGGAATACTAAAAAGATTGAGTTAATAAAAATCTATCTCATTAACAGCTTGACCTACCAACATCGATCACTTCAGATGTGATGCCAGCACACACAGTCCTGATTATGTAGGCAGGAGCAAGGCTTAGGGGAGCTCAAATGCCATTTAAATCCGCCAAGGAGTAACTCTTTCTCTAAGGGCCTGAAACATCCCCCAAACTAATAACCCTGAAAAGCACCAAATTCCTTGAGGATTTGAAGTTTTCACTCTGTTAATCTCCTAACTCAATAAAGCAAACACTCCTACAGCAAATTAAATACTTTCATTAAAGAGCCCCCTCCCCTATTCTCCTTGATGTGGCTATAGAGCTATGGACTCCCAGTCTTTGTGTGTCTAAAGGTTTGTCCCCCTCCTCACCAACTTTTCCTGTTACTCCGAGGAGATCCAGAATCCACTAGGATATGCTGATTCTTAGATTCTGAAAACTTCTGAGAACTGACTCTCTGAGAGGATCCTACAGACTGTTAGCTGAGGGAAATGTTCCCTGTTCTTTAGTGGGGGTGACAGTCCCCAAGCACCTCTATTGTTGCCGTTTTACTGGAGGAGGCCCTAGCAAACGGCCCAGGCCAAGGTGGACTTCCTTTTGCCAATGGTCAAACCTTATGACCTCTCTAGAGGTTTGTCTGTTATGCCTCCAACAGTTAACAGGGGATGGGATGGGGCTAGCTGGAGAGAAGATTAAAGGAGGGTAGAGCAGAAATAGAGAAAGGGGGCCTGAGGGAGGTCTGTCTTCAACTCCTCCTACTGCTGATGGTCCCCAAGTTGGCCCCAAAGCTGCTCCTCCCACAGCAGCCTCAAACTGGGTTCAGTCATTCTAACTTCCAGTCACTGCTTTCCTCTCACCATTGCTTTGAGGTTGACCCACTCAGAGCTTCCTCCAATGCTGTCCTCATAAAGCCTGCCACTTTTCAGGCAGTGGCAGTGGCAGGCTTTATCTTTATCTGGTGATAGCAAGCACCAGAATCCATTATATTTTAGGGGAAACCCACCTGCAGTTTTATTGCAGGGTCTGTAGTGGAAAGTTCTGTAGATCCATAATTAAAGAGACTAGAAAGTGTGTACTTTGTCTATAGTGACAAGCTGGTGTCTGAGAGGGCCAAGGCTTTCTCATCAAGTGCTTCGTAGCTGAGTGTCATATCTCTCATGGAAGGTCTGGTCCTGGGTATTTATACTGCCAAGAGTTCTGCATGTAGACCTTGCCCAGGGTGGGGAGAAGGCACTCTGAGAAGACTCATTTCAACTTTTCTTCTATTTGCCCATCTGGGGCAGGAAAAGGGGGCACTAGTCCCTCAGAAGCATTAAGTCACCAAAGCACAAGCTGGTTCCTGATCACTTGAAATGTCCCCTTTCTTGTCAGCCCAGACAGTGTCCTTGGCTCTGTGGCTGACGCCATTTCTCTATCACCCCAGTAGAATTGCCTCTACACTTATGTCTTCCCCTGGGATCAGAGTCCCTAGAATTTTAGATGTTACGAAGATTTTGGCATTCCAAAGCTCAAACCTAGCTTGTAAGAATCTATTCTTTAGTACTTACTGTCTCTCATTAGAAATAAATCCTAATTTAATAAAGTTAATTTGAATTATATTTTTCTCAGGGGCTAGCACAAAGGAAAGCTGAGAAATGTCAGTACAGTCTGTCTTCTAGACTCTCAATTTCCTTCCCGTGTTGCCACCTCATGCACCCTTCCTGCTACCTCCTACCATCACCTCATCTCTCTGGAATCTAGGCAGCATTTCGTGCTGTTGACCAGCCCAGTTCAATTTAGAAGTTGTTCTGTCCCAGGACTGCTAGAGGCCAGCAGAGCTCCTCTGCTGGGTGTTTCCCCTCTCCTACAGCATTCAGTTTGAGCTATGAAAGAATAGACAACTTTTCACTCTTCACACATGGTCTCATGGGTATCTGTTCTACCCTTCCATCTGGATTTTAATTTCTTTGAGCATGAAGACAAAATCATAAATTTCTGTTTGCTCTTTTAGCATCCAACCCAAATTCCCCTGGGAAAAAGTCAAGATAGGAGATGCCACTGACCAGTGACCTTTCCCACCAGTTGGTGGCCCCAGCTTGGGCCTCAGGAATACCAAGGTAGGAAGCCCTTTTCACCTCCCTCCTGAGACTCTGCCTCACCTGGCTGACTCCTTCCACTCCATCTGGTCTCCATCATGCTGCAGAGTATCCATTTCTGTGAAGAGGGTGGGGTTGGGAGCCTCATCTTCCTCCCCCAGGATGTTCTGGAGCTGCTCAGCAGCTGGAGACCCTGCAAAGAAGGCAGCAGGGTGTGCTGAGTGTCTCACGGAAGGCAGAGGGCCACACAGACAACCAAAAGAAGCACAAGTCAAGTGCAAGGGGAAAGTATTTCTTTTTTTCTCTTTTTTTAAATTATAAACTATTACATAAATTTTCTAACATTTTGTCTTTCAAAAATTGTTTGTTTGGTTTACGGCATTATACATATTTTAGGGATATAGGTTCACACCTCCATAAATGTTTATCATCATGCCATGCCCACTGCCAAAGCATTGATTATCCTGCACCTTAGTCTGTTTTCCATCCCTAAGCATCACCCCACTTCTGATAGACTCACTTCTTTATTTGAGCCTCAGTCAGGTAAGGGTAAAGTATTTCTTTTCTTTCTTTTTTTTTTTTAAAGATTTGTTTATTTATGCATACAAAATTGGGGTACAGGTCAGAGGTGCAGGGGTGGTGAGAGGATTCACCAGAGCCAGAGAAGGGGAGCAGAACAAGCAGATTGATGAAATACACTGCTGAAGGGAGCAGCAGGCGGGTCAAGAGAGGTCACGTGGGTCACCTCCGGGGCAGTTGGGGACTGAACCCATGCTGAAATGGCCTTAGCTTCTTAGTGCTGTGCTTTAACCCGCTGTGTCACAGGGAGGTCCCTGGTAAAGTATTTCTTAACTTAGTAAAGCTAAGTTCAATTTCTGCACAAAGCTGGACTTGTCTCTGTGGGTGGGACATGAGTAAAATGTTCTTTGAGGTAGAGAGATATGAAAGAATTTAGTCTGTATTCAGATTCCAGGACAGATGACAATGAAGAAGATTGGGAAATCACCAAATTCAAGGTGGCAGCAATAATAGGGATCAGTATAAAAAAGTAGAATCAAAAGAACCTTCACCACCCTTCAACATAACAAACCCTTTTTCCACTGGGCCCCAGACCCAGCTCCCAATATTGGCCTTAAAGGAATAGTCAGCTATACAAAAAGATGAGCTTGCACTGATGTGCCACCTGGGCCCACCATCTTCATGGGCCAGGTGCAGCCTGTTTCTTGGGCTCCCAGCCTACTTTCCACCTGCCTCCTGGATATCACCTCCCAGTGTCTTTCAGGTACCGTAAAAGTCAGTATTTCAATACTGAACATGTACTCTTCTCCAAACATGCTTCTATGTCTGTTCTCTCCTCTTTTCCCCAATATTGAATGAAAGCCTACTATTTACCAGGCATTATTCTAGGTATTGGAGAACTTGCTCTCCTTAGCATCTGTTTTAATGGCAGAGAAAGAGAAAAAATATAAGTAAATCCAAAAACATTATTTCAGATAGTGACAAATTCTGGAAAGAAAGTTTAAAAAATAAAAATAAAATGACTGAGGAGTTACATTCAACAGCCTCATCAAGATTTCTGTGGGGTGGCAGGAGACATTAGAATTGTGACTCAAGGGCCCTGCCCTGGCGGTACAATGGATTAAAGCACAGCACGGGAAAGCTAGCTGCATGAGTTCCATCCCCCACCTGGGTGGTGACCTACATGGTGCAGCTGACATCTCCTGACCCGCCCATTGCTCCCCTCAGCAGTGCACTTCATTGACCTGCCTGTTCTGCTCCCCACTCTGTCTCAGATGAAGCCTCTCACCACCCCTGCAACTGTGGCCCGTATATCAGTACTGTATGCATAAATAAACAAATATTTATAAAAAAATTAAAAGAATTGTGACTCAAAAGTTAAGAATGAGCCACTTCTAGAAGAAAAATGCACCATGAGGTCCAATGACCCCAAGGAAGGAGTGTTCTAGTCCTTGTCTAAAGAATGGTGAACAAGCAAGATGTGGCATAATGCCAGATACTTTGGATAAAGGGATACTGGGAAGTTCCAGCAAGACAGCAGAAGAGTGAAGATTCAGGCTCACTTTCTCTCCACATAAACAACAAAATAACATGTAGATCAAAAACAATAGTTCCTGAAAAAGAACACCAGAGATCAGCATTTTTACAAGAGACAATTATAACATCAGTGAGGAAGGGAAGGAAAACTATAACTTAATTTCATTTGGACTGCCCACAGAGTATATAACCCAAAAGAGGGTGGGATGGCTGCAGTATAGAACCTCTTATTTTTTATTTATTTATTTTTTAAGATTTATTTATTTGTGCATACAGAACTGGGGTATAGGCCAGAGGCTCAGGGGTGGCGAGAGGCTTCACCAGAGACAGAGTGGGGAGCAGAACAGGCAGATTGATGAAGTACACTGCTGAGGGGAGCAGCGGGCGGGTCAGGAGAGGTCTGCCCGCGCCATGTGGTCACTTCCAGGGCAGGAGGGAATCGAACTCATGCGGAAGTGGCTTTAGCTTCTCAGTGCTGTGCTTTAACCCGCTGCGCCACCAGGGAGGGCCCAGAACCTCTTGTTTTTTGTGACTGGGGGCTTATGCTGTTCTGGGTACCTTAGTGCTGGGGACTGCATTGGAGATGGGCGTATAATCAGTTTCTATGGAGAATACTAGGATACTAGCAGAGTCACAAAGTTATACTAGAAATCAACACAAAAAGAAAACTGAAAAAACTTCAAACAAGTAGAGATTAAGCAATATACTTCTTAATTATTGATTCAGAGAAAATTAAAACAGATATTAAAAAGAAAAAGAAATTATGAAAACAATCCCATTTATCATCATATCAAAAAAAAATACAATACCTAGGGGTAAATTTAACAGAGAAGTGAAACACATATACAACAAAAACTACAAGACACTATTAAAAGATATAAAACAAGACACAAAACAATGAAACGAGTCCATAACCATAGATGGGAAGAGTCAATATAATCAAAATGTTCATCTTACCAAGAGCAACATACAGATTCAAACAAACAATCCCTATAAAAATTGATATTTTTTTAAAGACTTATTTATTTATGCTTACATAACTGGGGTACAGACCAGTGGTGTGGTGGGTGAGAGGATTCACCAGAGGTAGAGTGAGGAGCAGAACAGGCAGATTGACAAGGTACACTGCTGAGGGGAGCAGCGGGTGGGTCAGGAGAGGTCTGCCGCACCATGTTGGTCAGCTCCCTGGCAAGGGATGGAACTCATGTTGCAGAGGCTTTGGAGAGCTTCATAATGTGGTGCTTTAACCCATTGCGCCACCAGGGAGAGCCCAAAATTGATATTTTTAAGGAAATAGAACAAAGTACTCAAATTTGTATGGAACCACAAAAGAATGTGAATAGCTAAAGCAATCCTAAGAAAATGAAAAAATTATATATATATATATATATATGTATGTATATATATATATTCCAAAGCAACATTAATTAAAACTATGGTACTGGAATAAAAATAGGCATAGAGATCAATGGAAAATGATGGAAAGCCCAGAAATAAACCCACACAAATAGCAATACTTAATCAAGGACAAAGGTCCATACATTGGAGAAAGAAAACCTCTTCAACAAAATGGTACTGGGAAAATCCAATAGTCACGTGTAAAGTAATTAAATTGGAGCACTGTTTAACTCAACACACAAAAATAAACTCAAAATGGATTAAAGACATAAATGTAATACTCAAAACTGTAAAATATATAGAAGAAAATATAGATGATACTTTCCAAGAAAACACTATTAGAGATGTCTTTGGGGATTCACTCCCATGACAAGAAAAATGAAAGCAAAATTGAGAGTACATCAAATTGGGATAAGTAAATTGATAAAACCATTTGTAAACAGTATAGATCTTCCTCAAAAACTAAAATTAGATCTAATATGATCCAACAATCCCATTTCTACGTATCTATCCAAATAATATGAAATTATCAACTCAGAGCAATAGGCAGCAAAACATTTATTGCAGTATTATTTAAAATAGCTAAGATATGAGAACAATTCAAGTCTATTAACAGATGATTGGATGAAGATGTGTTATATCCACACAATGGAATATTTTTCAGCTATTAAAAAAGATGAGCTTTTGCCGCTTGTAGCAAAATGGAAGGAATTTGCAGGGATTATGTAAAGCAAAATAAGTCAGGAGGGGAGAGACAAATATTGGATGATCACACCTGTATATTCAATTAAAGGAAACGAAGCAGATGAACAGGCAAAACAAAAATAAACCAATAGATAGACAACAACACCGATGTCCTCAGGAAAGCGTGGGGAGTAGAAACAAGGGTAGAAGGGATCTAATGGTGGTGGCAGGCATTTCATTAAATGAAATAAAGGCATAACTGTCCACCCACCTGTACAGACTAGACCCCTTGCAGTCACCTTCACCTCACCTCCACTTTCATATTGAAATTTTTTAAGAATACATTTCTTCCTCATCTATCCCATTGCCCCTGCCCTGTTCAGTCTTTTGAGTGTTGTCTCCTGGGCTTCAAAAAATCTGTCCTTTCCTCTACCCTTTCTTTTCAGTTTATTACCCCCCCGACCCCTCACTTATTTCTCCCTGGACTCCCAAGGGTGATCATTTCACCAATTTTCCACCACAATCTCTACTCTCCTACTCCTTGACTTACCAATAAAACCAGCTAGACAATGCCCAAGCAAGAATTCATTGGCCCAGGCTTCATTGCTGAGGGTGTGTCCTGGTGATACAGGGGAGACAGTATAGTATAGTGGGATGGGGGGGCAGGAGGGAGGGTTGGACTTTTCATCCAGCCAGACTAGGTGTGATCTTGCAATTTCCACTTTCTCATGAGTGAATTCAGTCTGACTGACCTGGGTTGTTGGAAGGAATAAATCAGATAAGGAAAATAAGACATGTGACATCGGCCTGGAATGTAACAGTGCTAATCCCCTCAGCACCAACCCCAGCTCCCAGGCTCGTGAGTCCCTCTGGACCAAACCACCCAAACCTGCATGTGGAAGGTTCCACTCAGCCTTTCTCAGAAGTGAGTCACTTTCTACCTATCCTTGTCAGCCTCCTTTTCCTGCTCCTCAATGCATTCCTTCAATGTACTCTTCTCTTCAAGCTTCTTGATCTGTTATCTTACCTCACTTCACCAAGAAAACAAGAGTCTCC